GAAGGAAGGAAGAAAGGAAGGAAGGAAAGAGGGAAGGAAGGAAGAAAGGAAGGAAGGAAGGAAGGAAGGAAGGAAGGAAGGAAAGAGGGAGGGAAGGAGGGAAGGAAGGAAGGAAAAAGCATTTTTAGGGCTTACTATGAGCCAGGTAGGCACTTAGAAACTTAGAACAATGAACACAGAATGTCAGTCCTGGAAGGGATCTCTGAATACAGAAGGTCAGAGCTAGGAAGAAACTGAGAACATAGAATGTCAGAGAACAGAGAATGACATTTAAACACAAAATGTCAGAACTCAGATCTTAGAACACAAAAATGGTAGGGCTGCAAGGCACCTTAGAGATCCCACTCATTTTATTGAGAAGGAAACTGAGGCAGAGAGATGATAAATGACTTGTCTAAAGATACAACACTAGATATAGGCCTAGAAGCCAGCCCAATGCTGCCTCTTACACAGCTTTCAAAGCCTATATCCCCCCGGAGAGAAGCCTCAAACACCAGGCTATTTAAAAAAAAAAATCTTTCTGGCCTCCTACAATGCCCTAAAACCAATTCCCTTAGCTGACTTCAACATCCCAGAGTGCAATTCCTCAAACTCCTAACCCCTGACCAAGATTCCATTCTCTCCTCCACTCCCATCCCAATCCCATCCAGCCGAACCTTTCCGCCAGTGATGATGGCTCCAAAGAGGTGGATGAATCGAAGCTGCAGGACGGAGGGAAGAAGACCAACATCCTGAAGGCTCTCTATGGGCAGGAGAGAGAAAAGAGAGTCAGATTCAGGTGGGGAAGGCCTGAGACCAAAGCCTGGGACCAAGATACCTCAGCTCCGTCCAAGAGACAAACAGGGTCTTTCTTCTCTGTGTGCTGAGAAATGTCTCCTTTTCTAACCTGGCTGGCTGTATCTCCCAGGGTGTGGATCACAAGACCCAGCAGATTCAGGGTATAACGACAATACCTGCCCTCTAAAACAGAAAAGAGGGGGGGCCCATATGGAGCAAGATTTTCCCAAGTTCTCCCCCAAGTCTGGTGGGAAAGATAAGGCCCTGCCTTTAGGGAGCCCCGGGTCTGATGAGGGACACTAGGCAGCAGACAGGGGGATAAGTGGGAAGAAGAGCATCTCCCAGCCTCTCCTGAAACCCCTAAGTAGAAGAGGCCCCTCTGGGCCCCATCGTACCCTGAGGCATCTCCTGGTTCTCCCCCTGCCTTTGAAAGAAAATAGAGACATACTGCAATTGGCCTCAGTCTTAAGCAGAGCTAAGTCTCAAATGCAAATTTCCTTCATATTGTCAGTCTCCAGCCACCTGTTGGGGATGTTGGGGGCTTTCCTGCCCCCCTCCTTCTAGAGACCCAGTTTTCTCTAAATGAAAACATAACGGCTACCTGCAGGACTTTTAGGGGCTTCCCCCCCCCAATTCAAGTCAACAAACATTATTAAGTGCCTACTACATGCTTACTTATCTATCTGATGTCACTGTTTCAGCTCCTAATTACTGAACATAGTTATAGGCAATAAAGAAAAACTTGAGGGTTGGGCAGGGAAGCGGTCCAGCTCCAATTAATTCTGCTTTAGTTTAAAAAAAAAAAAGTATTTTTGCTCCCTTGGTCCCACAACCTTAGCAAAGAGAGCTGAAGAGAAAAAAAACAAACAAACACTATATGTCTTAGAATCACAATTTTAGGGTGAAAAAGGACTTTAGAGATGTCAGAATTTCAGTCATCCTCTTGTTCAGTCCATACTCCAAAGAAATCTCCACCCTAACATGTTAGTGGTCATCAAGGAGAGGCAAGATGATGAAGAAAGAAATCTTCCACCTCCTAGGACAGCCCATGCCCTTCTGGGAAGCTTGAATTATTAGCAGGTTTTTCCTGACATCCTGCCTATATTTATTTACATTTTTGGAAGTTCTCCCTTACCCAAAGCTCCCAGTTCTGTCCTCTTGTGTGTTTCCCACATGATAGCCTTTCATATGCTTGAAGATGGCTTTTTTCCAGGCTAAACCTCCCCAGTCCTTTTAACCAGTCCTCATGGGACATGGTCACAAGGTCCTTCACCATCCAGGTTGCCTTCCTCTGGACCCTCCCCACTTTATCAATGTCCTTCTCAAACAGTGGCTCTCAGGGATACACACACACACACACACACACACACACACATACATACATGAAGTGAGTTGCCCAAGGTCATCTAGATCATAAGTAGCAAAGTCAGGAAGAGAACTCAGCTCTTCTGACCACAAGTCCAGCCCACTTTCCTTTACCTCAGATCCCAAACTGAGGAGCCCTTAGCATAAGGTTCTTGAGGGCAGGGACTGTCTCTCTATTCACATCTGCATTCCTAGCACTCAGCACCGTGCCTGGCACATAGTAAGTGCTTAATAAATGCTAAGTAACCACTGCCTCTGCTACTAAAGGAGAGAAGTCATCCACCAAAGTGAAAGAGAGATAGGGCTCTTGATGCCAGTAAGAGTGGGAACAGCTCTGCCCGAGATGGAGATGGCAAAACAGGAAGCTGAAATGCTAGAAATACTGAGTAAATCGTGGAAATAATCTGATGTTACTGGAGATACGGTTTGAAATGCTATTTATTCAAATTTCATAAAAATGCAGAATTCTGTTTTACTGGGACCATTTGCTTCCCTGCTTCAGATACTTATTAGCTGTGTGACCCTAGGCAAGTCACTTAACCTCTGTGAACCTGAGTTTCCTCATCTGTAAAGTGGGGATAATAATATCTGAACTACCTACCTCACAGGCTTTATCAAACAAGATAAGGAATGGAATGAGCTTTGAAAACATGGAAATGCTATATTAATGTCAGTTATTATCATCGTTATTGTTATCAAGTATAAAAGGAGAGGATTGGGTTAGATGACTGCCAATGTCCTTTATAGGTCTAAACTGGTGATCCTATAGGGGTTCTTAACCTTTTTTAGTATCAGGACCCCTGCTGCAATCTAGGAAAGCTCACGGATTCCTCCTCAGAATATTGCTAAAGGCATAAAAGACATAGGATCTCAAAGGGAACCAATCATATGAAAACACGATTAACAAAATATTTTTTTAAACCGAGTTAATAGACCCTATGTTAAGAACCCCAGCTAGGAAGGAGCTGAGACCTAGACTCATCCTCAGACCCCAGGCAGATCCCTGCCCTTTTGGATTTTGCAATTTCTCCTCCTGAAGAAATGGGTCATCTCCTCACTATGGTTTTGTTTCTCACGAGGGCTGTGCTCAGGGCTATGTCAGATGGAAAGGGAGAAGAGGAAGATTCTGATAATAAAATGCTCTAAGCTAGTGATCCTGGGCAGGGATGCTGCCACCATCCACGGAGAAGCCAGGAAAAGTGGGGTGGAGGGGAATGCTGGCTATAGGGCAGCTTTGAGGGGAAAGTGAATCAGGACCTTGACCACAAGAAAGAGGTAGATTTCAACTATCCTGCTAGGACCAGCTCAGGCTGAAGAGCCTGAGTCATTGGAAACTGCCCCAGGGAGATTATAAGCAGCGAACAAGTGGCCCAACATGGCAGCTATCTATGTGTGTATACCATGCCAATATGGCCCCTATGTGCATGTATCCTCACATACATAGCTGCCCACAAAGAAATACTCTCTATAAGGAATGCCCATGTGTCTGTAGGCATCATGGCCTACATGAACTGCATTTTGAAGTCAAGGGAGGGAATCTGAAGCCCAATCCTGCTACTTACTACCTCCATGACTTGGAACAAGTCCCTCCCCTCCATAATAAGAGGGAAGGGCAAAATCAGGCGTTTTTAAACTGGGTTCCCCAAAGGGGCCAGAGAATTTGGGTAGGAAAAAAATTACTTCTTTATTTTCACTAAAGTTAGCATTTCTTTCAATTATTTAAGAACATCCTTCCGGACAGGGATCTTAAGCTTCACCAGGCTGGCACAAGTAAGGTTAAGAATCCCTAACTCTACGGTCCTTGTAGCAGCACAATTTCACAATTGTCAGACACACAGAGACGCACATTTTCAAAGACATAAAGACAAACAGTTCAGATACTCGAAACACCAGAATGCATGCATGTGGAAGAGAGAGTGGACTTGTGTTTTGTTCCAGAGGGTAGAACTATGGCTAAAAGGTGGAACCTACAGGAGAGTGAACTTTTGTTCAGTATTTTTTTTTTTTTTTTGCGCTTTTTGGTGAGGCAGTCAGGGTTAAGTGACTTGCCCAGAACCACACAGCTAGTAAGTGTCAAGTGTCTGAGACCTCATTTGAACTCAGATCCTCCTGACTCCAAGGCCAGAGCTCTATCCACTGCACCACCTAGCTGCCCCCTTTTCTTTCTTTCTTTCTTTTTTTTTTTTTTTTGCTTTTTGCTCAGTATTAAGAAGGTCTTTGCTCATAGAAAAGCAATGAGAGCTTCCTCAAACTGAAATAGGTGATCTTGTCAGATGGTGAGCTCTCTGTCACTGAAAGTGTTCAAGTAGAAGCTGATGGTCGTCCTAGCTGAGATGTATTTATAGGAATTCCTGCACTGGGTAGGAGGTTGGATTAATACTTTGATGCCCTCTGGGCATTTATTATGTAATACTGTTGATCATATTTGCCTGTGTATATGGGGCAGGTATTACTATCCTACCTCTGCCTGCCCCTAAGGTCTCTCTCCACTGAGTTCTTACAATTCAATGACACTCAAAACCCAACATACACATACACACATCCCTGAAGACACAGGGTCAAGGGGCCAAATGGAATTACACACACACACACACATACACACCCTGAAGAACACCATACATGACCCGTAGACATATTCTTAAGAACAAGACTATAACGCATAAACACATGTGTATACACACGTGTACAAAAATGTACAGGCATACGGACACACACAAAGTCAGAAAGAAACAAACAGAATATATATATATACTGTCATAGGAAAGAACAGAGAGAGAGATATGTAAGTGCACACATAAAGATGTCCAGAACCATCAGAAAAACAATGTAGCACAGAGGAAAGCAACATTGGCTTTGGAGACATGGGATGCGGGTTCAAATACATATCAGCTATGTAACCTTCTCTTGGCCTCGGTTTCCTTATTTGTAAAATGAGAAGGCTGCACAAAATGGCCTCTAATGTCATGTATAGCTTAAAACATATGATCCTCTATACATATACCATCCTCCCCATACATACACCATCCTCCCCATACATACAAAAACAAATATTAACCTAGGTATAGGGACAAAGACTCATAAAGAAAAGTGGATATGAGAAGTCATAGAATTTCCTGTCACGCCCACAGACCAAACTCTCTCTTTCCCCCAGGCATGACAAAATGCAGCTCTTTCAATTCAGGTCACATCCATATGCACACATCCCTCTCCTCCCTCTATGTGTGTGTCTGCTTTTTCTGAATCAATGAGGGAGGGTAGAGGAAGGGGGAATCAGCTCTTTTCGGTCCCTTTCCCTTGGCAAAGCTCCAACCCCCCCCCCTTTACTCCCCCTGTGGCCATCGGTGAACCAGTGTTTAGCAGGGGAAGTTGGTGGAGAAGTCCTGACCCCCCAGCAAGTGCTGAATTAGCAGCTGTCCTTCTTACATGTAACTGGAATCTCCCCTCTCTCTTTCAAGGAACCTTTCCTCTCTCTTTCAAGGAACCTCCCCTCTCAAACATCGTGCTGTCCCTTTCCAGTCTGGCAAGCCATATCAAGGCTAAGAGGAACACAGACATGAGTAAGGTGAAGACACAGAGAGCACAGGGATGTGCACACAGTAAGTACCTAATAAATACTTGTCAAACATAATTTTATTGGACTGAGAAGATTAGAAGAAAAGCCGGGGATCCTAGCTCCCAGTATAAGGTTCAGCAGGGACTCTCTTCTAATACATAAAAAGCCGTTCCCACCTCTGACTTCCTTAGCACTTCCCAACAGCCTGAGAGGTAGACACCTCTGCCTAAATCTATCTCTCTAGTCTTGAATCTCTCTCCCAAGCTCCACTCCTTCCTTTGACACAGAAACAGTTCCACCTGAATGTTCTAACAATATCCCAGACCGAGATTTTTATCTTTCCCTCTGAAGCTGCACCCCTCTTTGATTTGACCATCTGTCTATGGTACCTCCATTCACTCAACTTTCCATGACTCAGTTTCTTCAACTGTAAAATGGAGATAATAATAAAGCACCTGCCTTGCAGGACTGTCAGGATCGAATGAGATAATATTCATAAAGCACTAAGCACAACGCTTGGCATATAGTCGGTGCCATATAAATGCTTATTTTCTTCCCCTTGCCCTAAGATGTTAGTGATGCCTCCCAGCTGAGTCATCTGCAAATGTGATAAGCTTGCTATCTCTGTCTTTATCCAAGACATTAATAAAAATGATAAAAAAAAAAGATTCATTGTTCAGGTGTGTTGGACTCTTCTCACTCTGAGAATCCTGTGATTCTTCCCTCTACATCACCTTTCATATTCAATCAGTTTGCAAGTCCTCACCTCTGCAACTGCTCTCACATCTATGCCCCCTGAAGCCACCTTCATTAAGACCTTCATTAACATCAGTCTAGAAGAGTTTATCGGTCTCCTAATTGGTCTTATTGCCTCTCTCCCTCTCTAATCCACTCCTCACACTGTCAAATTACTTTTTTATACATAGCTCTGAACCACGTAACACTTTTGTTGCAAAATCTCCAGTGGTTCCACATTACTTAAGGAAAATACAAACTAGTTTGCCTGGCATTCAAGGTCCTCTACTGTCTGGGGTCACCCTAACTTTCCAATGTTACTTTATTTTATCTACCCCATACAATCTATGCTCCACCCAATTATAGGGACAAAGTCTGATTTAAAAGAGGAACTAGAACATTTAAAAAAATCCTAAAAGAGAAAAAAAATACTAGAGATATAAATGGAGGAAAACATAAACCTATCACAATTTTAAATATAAATGTATTAAAGAATCCCCCCCAAAAAAGGAAAAAAGAGTAGCAGAAAGATTAAGAAAACAAAAAAACCCCATAATCTGTTGTTTATTAGAAATACTTGAAAAAAAAAGCAAAGATATACATAAAATAAAGATATACATAAAAAAAGCAAAGATATACATAAAACAAAAAGAGAGACTGGAACAAAATTTACTGTGCATCAGGTAAATAAAAAAGGGCAGGAGCTGCAATCATGCTCTGTCTGCTTGGCTTTTAAAACCCTTCATAGCCTGGTCTACTCTTACCTTTCCAGTGTTCTTATACCTTAGACACTTCCACATACTCTTCTGATCTATGGACACTGGCTTCCTTGCTGTTCACTGCCCAATATACTCCATCACTCATCTCTAGGGGTTTTCACTGGCTACCCTCCATGCCTAGAACTCTATCCCCCCAGCTCCATTGCTGGCTTCCTTAACTTGCATCAAATCCCAGCTACAACTTCACCGTCTGCAAGAAGTCTTTCCTTGGGGCAGCTAGGTGGTGCAGTGAATAGAGCACCAGCCCTGAAGTCTGAAGGACCTGAGTTCAAATCCAGCCTCAGACCAAACACTTGATACTTACTAGCTGTGTGACTCTGGTCAAGTCACTTAACCCCAATTGCCTAAGGAAAAGAAAAGTCTTTCCTGATCCCCCTTAATGCTAATGGCTTCTCCTCTAAGATCATCTCCAATTTATCCTTATTTGCACATATCAAATATTTGTACATATTTTGGAAATCTCTTATTTGTACGTAGTTGTCTGCATTTTGTCTCCCCCCATTAGACTGTGAGCTCCCCAAGAACAGGGACCTGTTTTTGCCTTTCTTTGCCTTCCCAGGACTACTACCCCTGTAATATAGTAGGAGCTTAATAAATATTTGTTGACTATCAAATGAAGCTAAAATAAAAATTCACAACATAAAGAAAGATAAACAAGGAATTAACATTATTCTTAGAGGAACCAAAGACAACAAACCAATTTGAATATTAAACTCAGATGCACCAAATGGCATAGCATGTAAAGTTATAAAGGAAAAATTAACTGAACTGCAAAAAGACACAGATTGGGGGCAGCTAGATAGAGCTCCAGCCTTGGATTCAGGAGGACCTGAGTTCAAATGTGACCTCAGACACATGATACTCACTAGCTGTGTGACCC